GATGATATAATCATGGAAAATTAGATCCACTGCACCTGTGCACATTTAATTATTCTATTTTTTAATATTATTTGATATTAAAAACTAAAAATTAATCTCTACCTAATCAATTACGTAAAATAAATTTTATTATAAATAAGGTATGAGTGTTACTCTTGTCCATGGTTATTGGTTAAACATATTGTATACTTTATATTAATACTAACTACACTTACATTTCAATGTGTTCAATTATAATCAGATTACATTATAAAATGATTTATATTTTTTGGGACATCTAATAATAAACCCTTCTCTTTTTAAAATTTTATTTTCACCTAATTTAAAATTCAAACATAAGATTTTAATTTGTAATTTCAAACAATTAACCTTTTAATCAATTGACTTACTCTCTTGAAGACATAATCTATTTGACATTAATAGTGAAATTAATGTTAATATTTATATTTTTAATATTAATTAATATTAAAAAATATCACATTTATATTTTTTTAAGGTATGCTTAAGAAATATGTTACAATAACTTTTTTTTAAAATAAACTTCTTTTACTCCTTTCTTTTAATACACCGTATTATCATTTTTTTTTTATACTCCTGGTTAAAATATCATCAAGTAGAAACATTCTTGCATTATCCTGTAATTTTTTGATGAATGGTTTGTCTAACCTATTTTAGGGTATTTTTAATTAATTTTATATTAATTTTTTACATCATATTCATATTTTTTTTTATAAAATTTTAAAGTATCATATTATATTTTTATATTTCATATTATATTTTATTTAAATTTTATATAAAATTAATTATAAATATTATAATAAATAAAATCTAACCTGTAACCTTAAAAAATCTCACTCTGTGATGCACTTACCGAGTTCAAAGGGCCTGTTCGGATGGTCCTCGGCCACGAAGAAGAATCGTGCGTAGCCGTAAGCCAGCAATTTTCAACTTGGCTTCGGAATTTCAAAATCGTGGCACATAGCCCAATGCTTTGAAATAGTTGGTTAAAATGAACTGTAATTTTTTTTTGACAAAGGTAATAATTAATTGGTTAGTTTTATTAGTTGTTAATAATTAGAGATTCGATTTTTAAATTTGATAAAATATTTTAACTCTTTCAAATGAGGCCTACAACCCATTCGAACCGTTTGGTAGAATTCAAATGAACTATAATTGGTTATAAGTTATAACTTATTAAAGTGAGGTAATTGGTAGTTGGTGCTTCATATTAAGGTCCTGTTTGGTATAATGGTTTTGGGGTAGAGGTTAATGGTTTTATCTAAACCGCTAAATATAGGTGTTTGGTAAATTTATATATTTCGAAACCGCTACAACTAAAGTGTTTGGTAAAATTTTTATTTAGCGGTTTTAGACTAGCGGATAGCGGTTATGGTCCAAATCGCTAGCGGATTGAAAAAGTTAGTTTATGTAGTTTTTTGTACCAAACCGCTAGCGGATTAGAATTTTTTAATTTTTTAATTTTTGGTCACATTTTTTAATTAATAATTATCTAATAAATTTCAGTTTTTTTTACCTTTAATAACATTAAGTGATTATAATATTTTTTGTATATTGATTTATAATTAAAAAATAAATTATCTTAAAAAACAAAATTTGTTAATTAGA